TGGGACAGTCCCCCTGTGAAAGGCAGGCATTTTCAGCATGATGACAGTGAAGCTGAACTGCGTGGACAGACACATGGCTTACACAATGGCAGACAACTTTGGATGAGGACATTCCTGGACATATATCACTCCAGATAGCGCAGTGTCATCAGCAGCTTATCATTTGGGGTAAATCGTAGGTGTCTAAAGGTCTCCACTACCTGAGTTAGCTGGTAGCTCAGCATTTTTTTTTGTCTGCCGTTGGATGTTGTGATTTATTTTGCTCATCAGCAAAATAGGGGGTGTTCAGGGCCCAAGGTTGTATTTTTGTTTGAGGTAAAAAATCAGTAAAAATTTGCCACAATGAGTTCTGTGTCAAATTGTTATTATGCAAACATGGATGGAGCATTGGAAGTGGCAGCAGAAACAATGTGGCTGGGGTTCTTATCAGTGGTAATCAACAGGATTCCATGATGACAGGGAAGCAGCAACCCTACCAAATCTTGTCATTAGGTGGTTTGTGCCACTGAGGGGATGCCACAGCCTCCTGATCACTAAGGGCAAAACTACCACCTCTCCTTTGTATGAACTGAGAGGCTCTGAGTTCTAGACCTTCTTCTAGGAGTTGGATGTGTTCTTGGCCAGGATATCAGTCCTCTGCTCTGACCACCAGCATCTGCCCCTATCAGCAAAGCCGCTCATACGAAGAAACCAGCTCACAGCCCTGGCCTACAGGCCAGAAATGGAATGGTGACTTCAGATCCTGCTGTCCGGGAATGAACCTTTTTAACCTTCTAACTCCCCACCTCTGATTAGAACTGGGGCTTCATGCATGCACCCCTCCTCTGCCATGCCTGTCTTATCCTGTGCATCCTAACCCCAGCTTGTGTTCCCAACCACCTGTGACCTTAAGGCCAGTCCAGCAAACCCTGTGAGACCAGGTTGAGCAGCCTCACATGTTCATTCACTGCACATCCGTCCTGGTGTAGCACAGCGGCTTTTGTTTTTATTTAATGGGAGGTGGGGTGGGAGTGGAGGACAGAAAGAGACAGAGAGACAGAATGCTCCTATCTGCTGGTTCACTCCCCAAATGTCTGCAACAAGCAGGACTGGACCAGGACCACAGCCAGGAGCCAGAAACTAGAAACACAGTCCAGGACTCCCAAATAGTGGAAGAAATTTTTTAAAAGATTTTTATTTATTTGAAAGGCAGAGTTACAGAGAGAGAGGTCTTCCATCCGCTGGTTCACTCCCGAGATGACCACAATGGCTGGAGCTGCGCCGATCCGAAGCCAGGAGCCAGGAGCTTCTTCCGGGTCTCCCACATGGGTTTAGGGGCCCAAGGACTTGGGCCATCTTCTGCTGCTATCCCAGGCCACAGCAGAAAGCTGGATGGGAAGAGGAACAGCCGGGACTAGAACTGGCACCTATATAGGATACTGGCGCTTCAGGCCAAGGCATTAACCTGCCGCGCCATAGCGCCAGCCCCAGAAGAAACTTTTTATCCCAGGGTCTTCAGTGGCAAGAAGCTGGAATCAGAAGCTGGAGCCAGGTATTAAACCTAGACACTCCAACATGGGATGCTGGCATCTAAATGCAAAGCTAAACACCTGCTCCCTGAATTAAAGTCTTAATTGATATTTAATGCTAGGTTTTCAATAGGTCTCTCTAGAAATGATTCCCTCTTCTATAAGATTTGTGTGATTAATCATGTACTGTCCCTCTCTCATTCTGATGTTTTCAGTTTCTCTTAGTCTATAGGATTATTTCCTATATTTGTCAACTTTTTGTTATGACAACTAAAATACCTGAAAGAAGCAACTTATGAAAGAAGCTTTATTTGCATTCACTGCTTTGGAGCAGCCCCGTTGACCTGGCATCTGATAGGAGTAGTGGGTGTCAGAACACATGTGGAGAAGAGATATTGTAGCGGGCCGGGAAGCAGAGCAAGACAGGGAGCATGCTCCTGATGAAGCCACCACGATTCAGTCATGAGGCTGCACCCTAGCAGCCTAATCCAGAGCAGTCACTTCCCAAACAGCCTACATTCAGGTATCATGGTTAGATTCATGTTCTACCCTCTCTGCACCACCGAGTTTGGGAATTAAATGTCTGCATGAGCTGGGGAAGCAAATTGTCTTCTAACTACAGTATCTCCCCTCATCTCCTCTCAGACTAGCAAGTGTCAAGGCATACACAGTACCTTGATAACAAAGTAATCAAGAAAAACTTAGCTTACAAGTGAGAGAATGAGGCACAGAGTTTTGATGACTTGTAACCACAACAGGAGACTGGGAATTGTAACAGGGTTCTCTCCTCTGTGGAAGAGGTGTGAGTAGGGGTGGTAATGTATGTAGCCAAAGGTTGCAATGGAGTGTACACCTTAAATGTCTAGGGCTCACACTGTGGCATGGAGGGATTAGGTTGCCACTTGTGATGCCCGCTTCCCACACAGAGTGCTGGTTTGAGTCCTGGCTACTCCATTTCTGACCCAGCACTCTGCTAATATTCCTGAGAAAGCTGCAAAAGATGGTCTAAGTACTGAGCCCCTGCCACCCCTGTGGGAGACCCAGATAGAGTTCCTTCTAGTACAGCTTGTCCCAGACATGAATGTTGTGGCCACCTGGGGAGTGAACCAGGGGATGGAGGATCTCTCTCTCTCTCTCTGTTGCTCTGCCTTTCAAATAAATAAATCTTGAAGGAAGGAAGGAAGGAAAGAAAGAAGGAAAGAAGGAAGGAAGGAAGGAGGGAAGAAACTGCGACTTTAGGGACAAATAGATCTTCATGATGTCTCAATTTCTTATAAGAGAACAAGTATACTTAATCCATCAGGATTCTGCGAGGATTAAAAGAACTATATTGTGAAAAGGATTAGCACAGGGTATGGCACTGCAGAGGCTCTTGTGAGAGGCAGTACATGCATGCACAATGTGTACATATACATGTGCAGTCATGAAAATGGCAGCTTTGAGAACTCCCTTTCCAAGGCTCAGCCATAGCTCACAGGTCCCCTGACACAGCTACTGGAAGCACCTCTCTCTGAAAAGCCCTGCGGCAGTCATGCTCCTCAAGGTTCATCCCCATGCAAAAATGCAAGGTCGGACAATGACCCACAGGAATGCCAAGGAGTCTCTCTGGCAAGCATTACATATACCTATGAGCTGCTACACAACCACAGGCTGGGACTACCCTGATGGCGAATCTAGTCCCTCCATCACCCTGTTTCCTAAAGCTTGTCGCACTGCAGCATTCAACAGTATCTGCTTCATTTAATGAAGTGAGGCAATCTTTACCAGTGGAACACTTAGCTCAATGGCAGGAATTTACTGAGTATGGTCATCTACTGGCAGTTCTTAGTAAGAGCAGTTTTACATCCAAAGCTAGATTGGGTCAGAATGTTTCCAAAAGTCCTTTTTGCAGCCTAGGGGGCGGGAGGAGGCAAAAGAATGGGCTCTGGGTTAGGTTCAAACAGTCACTAGAAAATGGACTAGGGCCAAGTAGTCCCAACAGAAAGTCTGTCCTCACATATTGGCAACTGTGCCTGGTGTGTCCATTCATTCAGCACACAGACCTCAGAGTTGTGGGATTTGTGAATGTGTCCTGAGCTCATCTGTGTGTATCACATCAGCAAAGCCTACTTCTCAAGGCTACCTTTCCATCTGCTGATAATGCTAGAAAGTTACATGGAGCTCTTATGATGGTAACGTGCATGTGGGTATGGGATGTGGGTCAGTGTAGGTGTGTATTCTTTTTACAGATAAAGCAACTCAAGTTTGAGAGTGCTTGTTCAAGTTCAGGTAGTCACTTGGTGGCTGGCTGAGGCTAGAACCTGGTTCCTTGATTAGTTTATCAAACAAGGTCCTTTATACCAGACTAATTGTCTGTGATAATGTTTGTTATTATCAACACATGGGTGCTGTTTTCCTTTCTGAAGAGCTGCCCTTCAAGGCTAAATGAAATAGCTCTTAAACAAGGCTAGATAAGTTGTTCTCAGCTCTGGCTGTATTAGATCATCAGGGGAGCATTTCAAAAACCCTGATGTGGGCGCTCTAGCTCAGACTTATTAAATATTTGTGGGTATGGAGCTGGGACCAGTATTGGTTTTTACAACTCCCAGGTGTTTCCAATATACAGTCAAGGCTCTGCAGTGCAATACACAGTGAGTGGTCCAGAGCGAAGTGTTTGCAAATTCTGCTGTGCATTCGAGTCAGCTGAGGAGCTTGCGAAACCGCAGCTTTGGATTCAGCAGGCAAATAGGGCCCGAGAACGCGCATTTCCAACAAGCTTCCCTGTGATGGGAATATTGCCAGTCCCTCACCCACACGCGGGACAGCAGCTCCAGAATGAGCTCCTGGGCTCTAGTCATCTGTTTGGTCACTGGTTCCTCCGGCCAGAGACTTGGAAACCCCTCTCCCCTGCATCTTCTCCTTGACTCCACCCTGTCAGCCCTTGGTCATTGGGTCTTGTCAGTCCCATTCCCCTGCTCCCTGCAGCTCCTATGTTTTCTGGATGGGCTGACACAACATTGCCTTCCCTCCCCCCACCATCACAGCCCCCTGGCTCTGTTCCTTGCTTGCCTGTCTCCTGATTCCCTCCTTGCCTCTGCCCATGCAGAGCTCTTCCACCCTCTGATCTATCTCTAAGGAGATCCCCACGTCCCTGGACCTCCTCGCCCCCTGCACCAGTCACCTATGACCGCTGTCTAGGAACAGGATGCCCTTCTGACTCGTTAATTCTTTGCAGCACCTGGCTCAGTGCCTCTCAGACTCTCCATAAATACTTGTTGAATTTAACAAACAAAACCCCAGCCCTGAACAAGCAAGGCCAAACAAAGGCCTCAGCTGCTCTCCTTCCGTTAAAAATAAACATTCCATCGAGATTATGCATCAAGCTTTACGCTCCCCCCTCGGAAAAAAAAAGTTGCTGAAATCGAACAACGTAAGTGGTTATTTCCTGTCTGGGTCGGGTGGTTTAATACAGGCTCAACGACGGCGGCAGGGCAGGAAGGAGAGGATGGATGCTGGCAGGGGCTTGGAGGTCTGCTCTTAATTCTGGGCTCGTCGCAGCACGGGGAAGGCTGGAGCTCAGGGACAGGGTGGGGACGGCCGACGGGGAGACGCTCGGAAGCGCGGGGCGGCGGGCGGGCGTGGGGAGCGTGAAGTCACTTGGCGCGGAGGGAGGCGCAGCACGCCGCTGCCGTTCAGCTTTCCCGTCCTGCAAGCGCCCACACGGGCCGCGGGCTTGGGGAAGGGGGCGGGGGATAGGGAGGGCAGGTCCCGAGCCCAGGGGGTGGAGGAGGGGGAGACCGAAGGAAATGAGACAACCTTTTCCTCCCTCTGACTCGGGCTCCTGCAGCGTCTCCGGGGCTCGGCGCGGCCGCCCGTGAGCTCCGAGGCCGGGACCCCGCATTCCCAGAGCGGTCCCGACAGCGGCGGCCCGTCCGCCGGGGTTTCTCTCGAGGCGCGGGTGCTGGCCCAAGTCCCGGGCGAGACTTTGCCGCGTCCTCCCCTCGGCGATCGGGCTGTGGGTCCCGCGGCTCGGTCCCGCGCGCCCGAGGCGCAGCCCCCGGAAGTGCGCGAAGGTAAGCTGCGCCCAAGAGCGCGCCCAGGGCGCAATGGCATCCCCAGCGGGCCCCGGCTTCTCCTCAATACCCTCTCTTCCGAAACACCCAGAGCATTTCTAACCTGAAGCCGCTGCTTTGTTCCCGCGCCCCTGCCCAGGTGTTGAAGGTTGGGCTCCCCAGGGAACTCTGCGTCCCAGCGCTTTCTTTTTTGCCTCCTCTTCCTCTTACTTTCCTGTTGCTGCCTCTGCCCCCCAGCTGTTGCTTCTGGATCATAGAACTCGGGGCTCCCGAACTCTCCAGCTTGGATTTCGAGAGCGGGTCCTTCCCCAAATCTCGGCGCCTCTCTCCTCCGCTCCTAGAAGCAGGGCTGAGCCGGCCGGCCTGCGGCTGTGACTGGCTTTGACCCTGGCTCTACCCGTGCAGACCGCCTTAAAACGTTGGTGGCTCGCGCTGAACTATTTACCTGGCTCAATTCGGAGGCACCCAGCTGGGCGCGCGCTGGGCGACGACCCCCAGGACCCTGAAATGAGAGTGGATTGGGGAGCTGGTAGGCTGTTGGCGCCCCCTAATGCCTCACTGAGAGTTTGGGCTGCTGGAGAGGGGCGCAGTTGTTCCTTGCTGCGACTTCTGGAGCGCGGGGCAGCGGGGGTCCCAATATTAGGCGCTGGGGGTTACTGGACACGGAGCTCTTAGCGGGGCGTGGAGGTGATGAGTGTGGCTCGGAAGGAGAGCGGGCGGACCGCACTGTGCCAGGTTGGCCATTTTGCTCATAGAATTGAGTTCTCACATCAGGCCTCTGAGTAGGAACTCCTGTTTCCTCTTTACAAAGCAGCAAAGTGAGTGTGGTTACAATGTCAGCTAGGAAGGGGTCTAGCCAAGGTTTGTTCCCAGCTGGTACCGCGGGTTCCAACCTAGTGTGTGGTTGCTCTGTTCAGTCTGATCAATAACCCACCACTTCCTGCTTACTCATGATATAAGGGCAGGCTTTTCCCATTTTGAACGGGGCGATTCTGTTAAATCCAAATTATTTATTTAATGTTTACTGTCTTCGAGTTCAGTGGCGAGGGGCATTGCGGTCCTGTCACCCTGTCACCTCCCTGTCACCACATCTCTGATTCTGCCGCCAGAGCCCATTTTCCCTGGAAGGCAGGCAAGCACAGTAGCTGAGAGCCCAGTGTGCGAATCCTGGCTGAGGTCTTTTTTGTGTCGTTCTGTAGCTGGATCTCCTCTTCTGTAAAGTAGGGTTCCAGGGTTTAAAGCCATGGTTCTCTGCCTGGGTTTTGACTTTGCCTCCCATGTGACATGTGGCCATGTTTGAAGACTTTTGGGGCCAGCATCATCTCAGTGGGGGAGGGTAGGGCTCCTGCTGAAGAGCCTGTGGGCAACCACAGCCCCCCACAGTGAAGAACCCTGGCCCCAGGTGCTGATGGTGCTGAGCCGAGAAACCCTGGTTTAACGGATGTGTTCACCAAGAGTGCCATTATTTCCAACTCCTGTCCTTTTGGCTAGTCGTACCAGCCGCTGGCCCCATGTCTCCCCTCAGTCCAGTGCCGGAATTCTGTGACTGCATCTGCAGCAGGTCATGCTACTAGATTGCCTTGATACCTGTGTTGGTCCCCTATTGCTAACTGAAGGGATGGGAGTCTGCAGGAGTTCTGCGTGCACTGCGGGTAGTTCCTGTGCTGGTTAATGTTCCAGAATCAGCGTCTTTACAGAATACAATCTAGCCGCTAACTTGACACATGGGGCTCTTCACAGTTGCCTCAGTTTACCTTGTCAGCCTCACCTTATGTCACTTTCTCTGTGTGCCTGTCCCATCTTCCCACTCACCTTCTGGTATTCCAGGTTCTAAATTTTGGGGATGCCCTTCCTCCTCTTTTGATGGCAAATTCCTCTCCATTTTTTCTCTTTATTTTTTTTTATTTTTTTAAATTTTTTCAGACTCATGCTTCTGGATGAAGCATTCTCCAATTCCCGTGAACGGTTGTGTTGCTTCTTGCTGCACCAGCATCCCCTACCCGTTTATTCTCTCTCCTTCTCTTTAGTGCACCATGCAGGGATCCCTTGTTCATCCCTCCAGTGGTCTCTGCTCACTAGAACCTAGCACAGAGCTGTGCTCACTGTGGGCGCCAGGCTTTCAGGTTTAGGAGTCAGGTCTTACGCCATTCAAATCCCAGCTCTGCCACTTGTTAACTCTGTGACCTTGGGCAAGTTCATTCTGTCCCTTCAGCTTTATTAGTAAAATATGAAGAGAAAGTCTGCCTTCTCTACAGACCAGTGTGACTAATGTGATAGTAATTGTCCATCTTCATTCGGAGTGCCTCTTCCATAATTGGACATGGCTCAAGTTCAGCAGTTTATAAGATTTCACTTATTTGTTTTTAAACATTTATCTTACTTATTTGATAGGCAGAGTTATGGGATGGGGGGTAGAAATCTTCCATCTGCTAGTTTATTCCAGGAATGACCTTAATGGCCAGGGTTGGGTTAGGCTGAAGCAAGGAGCTTGGAACTCTGTCCAGATCTCCTTCATGGGTACAGGGGCCTAGGGACCTGGACCATCTTCTGCTTTTTTTAGGCTCATTAGCAGGGAGCGGGATTGGAAGTAGAGCAGCCAGGATTTGAACCAGCGCCTGTATGGGATGCTGGCATTGCAGACGGTGGCTTAACTTATTAGGCCACAATACTTTCCCAAGTTTTCACTTATTTAATTCTTATCATATCCTTTTATGTCCTCTTAAAGTTAGTGCTCCATTCCAAAGAAATGGAGGCACAGAGAGGCTAAGCAGTCTGGCCAAAGTCACACAGCTAATGAATGGTAGAACCAGGATTCACACAAAACAGCTGGATTTCATAGTTCTGTGCAGATGGAGGATCATCATAGTGTTGGGAATATAATAAGTGCTCTGTAAATGTGACGTGAGGTTTGTCTAAGTCCATTGGCTTTTTCACTAACACTATCCTTGTGATTTAAAACTACCATTATTTTTGCAACTTCTGTTCCTTCCCTTAGCCACAGAGAGCCAGGATGTTGAAGTCAGTGATCTGTCACAGGGATGGGCCAGCACCACTGACGTGAATGCTACATGGAGCCTACATGTGCCTGGTCAGGACTAAAGCAGCATTAACTCTTTAGGGCTAGGGAAGGATGGAGTCAGCACACCTGCCTGGAGAAGAAAGTGCAGACTTGAGCTCAAAAATGCCATGACCTCAGCTTTGTCCTTACCAAGCATGTGCTTCTTGCAATGTGCACCCAGTACATAAATATTGGTGAAACCAATCAATGGGTGAAGGGGGCAGGGTTGTTCATTTGCCATCAGTGAGGTCTCCCACCTTATACGTGATCAGATACAGAGTATGCCTTGTCTCCAAGTGTTCTAAGGAGCATTTATCACGAAAGAGAAAGCTTGTTAAGGGAATTTAATGACCCATAGGGTGTGTTGGGAAACCAGGTGCGGAACCAGTGGCTGACCCCATGTGTGGATTGTATGTGTTTCCAGCTGATCACCCACCAATTTGGAGTGTTTTATTCCTTGAAGGCAGCCCTGGCTTTGAAAGCTGAGTCCCTTTCTTTGCTTGTCCCTGGGCCACTTGCTGTGTAGTCCTGGCTGCCTTGCACAAGTACCTGCATGTTTGTGTACCCTGGCTTCCTCCCCAGCTGTTCAACACAGCTGGAATCCCCCAGCATTTGCTTGCTTTGGCAGATTGTCCCCAAAACTTTGGTGGGATGAGGTCACCTTGCGTGTGAAAGACCCTGTGGTGTTCAATGCTGCAGAAACACTAGTAGGGGCTGCTCTGGCACCCACACATCCGAGACCTTGCAGACCCTCTGTGGTACTGCTTCCCCTTGTAGACACTGGGCTCCTGTCTCCTGGTATTTTCTGCTCTCCTAGCTCACTGGCTGGCTGATCTGAGACGAAAGTGCTCCCTGTGTTGTTTATGGCTGGAATAAAAATCAGACTCTGAATCTTTGGGTGTCACTTGTATTTCTATGAGGCTTCTGTAGCCTGGCCCAGAAGATGAACTGGCCCAGAGGTGGTGGGGTGGGGAGAAGTCAGGCTCAGTGCCAGGTCTTCAGGCCTGTGATGTCATACCTTGTTGGCTGCCCTCTTGGTCAGCAGCTTGTAACTGGCCATCAGATTTCTAATGAGGAAAGTTCCTGGTTCCAGGGAGCTCTACTTTGCCCATTGAGGTCTCAGCTGTGTTCTGTGTGAAACGGACTGTTGTTTGTGTGAAATCTTGTTTGGTGCTGTAAGGGGCGTTTTGGTCTCAGACTAACGTGGTGGCCAGAATCTTGAGGTGTGAGTGTGGACTTGGAAGGCACGTGCTGGGTTTCAGAGACCCAGAGACGAAGAAGACATTGTCTGTGTCATCAAGGTCATAGCCTGTGTCATATGAGGGACACGTGAGTGACCTGTCATCAGAGATAAGTAGAATAAGAGAGATCCAAGCAGAGAACCAGCGCTCAAAGGAA